ATATGTAATTCTATATAGGATTTTATTGTAATATTTCATAAATCATATAAACTCGCAAACTCATATAGTTTTATAATGTAATACTCTAAAATATTATAAAAATCATAAATTTACAGAATATTACATCACATTTAATTTTAGAAAAGTGATTTTAATTAAAATTAAATTTTAGATAATTATGATTGATTTATAAGATTTAATTAAATTATTTTATTATAATTAAATATTTTATTTTATTATTTTAAAAATATTAAAATATTTTTATTTTTTATATTTTTGTTTTAAATTGTTAAATTTTAATATTTGAAAATTAAAAAATCAGAAAATTTATTAGCTAATTAAAATTTTTCAATTGATATTAATATTGAAAAATTTTAACTTGTAAAAAGTTAATTATTATATTATTCTATGTTTATAAAAAAGTATTTATAAAAATAATTGTGTGAAAATCTAATAGTATTATTAATTATTTTAAATAATTTTAATTATAACTAGGTATTTAATTACTATACCTAATAAATATTTCATTAAACCATTTAATATCTGTCACATGACATGACATCAATTATTGGAAACGGCCATTATAATGACGGCCCGGGATTGTCATACCAGACGATCGTATAACTTCCGACATACAGTATGTATGACAAAAATTGTCTGCCATCCGAAACAAAATTTGTTAAATTCAATTAAGTTGATGGATAATGTTATGATCCTCGTCAAAGCAGCATCATCAGAAGTAGATAAAATAATCGAAGTATATGACAATGCTTTATATAATAAAAGAATATGTTGGGTATTATTGAATAAAGCACAAACAGCTGAAACAATTATAAAAAATAATTATGAAGAAAAGAATCTTTTTTCAGAAGATAATTTACAAAATTTAGTTGTAAATTTACGTAAAATTCAAAAATTTGTTAAAGAAATTTCTCAATTAAAAAGTTCAAAGTATAATAAAAATATTGAAAAAGATGCTAAAGATTTAATTAATGAGACTGATTCCATTATACGAGATTTACAATTTTCTTTGATGATGATGGATTTCAATATATGTGCTGACGATGATAATAAAGATATTGCTTCCGAGTTCGATGATTCATTCAAGGTAACGTGCTATATATGGTATACGTATTAAGAACACACATAATCTTATCTTACAAATCATTTATGTCATCATATAGTTCCTTCAAGAGATTGACGGTGTTATAACTGATGCGAATAAAAATATTTCGGAAGTATTCGAAAATATAAATGTACTTAATTATACACTTCAGTTATTCGAAAAAACTATGAATGGAGGTTCGGCCAATGGTGTCCAAGCAACACCATTCAAAAAAAATTCTGTTAATAAATCTAATAGAATGATGGATACTACAACAGAAATTATAGAACCAACGAGTACAGTAAAAACCCCTTCCAAAGTAGCAGAAATGACCAATGAATTTAACGAAAGAGGTTCTACCGATGATATCCAAGCAGAAACAAAATTTGAAATCTCTAATAGTATAGTCTCCGAAGCTGTTTCTCCATTTAAAATACCATTTTTAAGTTTTTTACCAATTATATCAGATTTAACAAAATTAATTAGCGAAATAGTAGAAGTAAATCAAAAAGCCGAACATAATAAAGACATATGCAAGATGATGTTGGATAAAGTACAAATATCTGATACATCAATAAGAAGATTATCTAATAGTGGTCGTTGAAATAATTATTTTTTTTCAAAAGAAGATTTTTT